TATTCCAGTCCTGAAGTTACCTTGTGGCAATACTCACACTGCAAAGTGTGATTGGATGCTTCTTCTGTTGAGTTCTTTTCCACTCTCCAGAGCTTTGAAGGTGTTGGAAACATCTCTGGGCTTTTTTCCAAATGCTGCACACTGCAGAAATGCTTACAAAGCATGCTGTTGGTCTCCTCTTGTAAAAAACCTCGGGGGCTCTCAACCAACAGCCTGGAATGGAATGCCTTCCTTGGAAATATGGGTGGCAGGATTATTTGGGGTGGGGGGTGGGGATACTGCAATACTTTGATTTTGTTGCAGATCCACCACCACCAGAACCCCAGCTATATTCACACAAGACAACAGGCTGTGTAATCTTAGCAGCATTCCCACAATCAGCTAGGCTTGGTTAGTTTCAACTGTAGCTTTTTTGGGTCATTCAGCATCTTGTGTTTACCCACCCAGCCCAGCTTGGTTCCTTTAAGATTCAGTGTATTATGCAAATCCAGAAAATGGGTTTATTCTTTAGCCAGCATGTTTTGAGCGAATGCAGCCTCTTTGCAGCTGGTCCAAAAAAAAAAAAAAAAAGACAGGCTTTCTATTTGGGTGCCGGAAAGCATCGTGAATGTGCTATGATTCTTGAAAAGTTTTCAAGACGTTCCTTTAGGGTTAGGGACCAAGGTGAAGCCTGAGAAAGTTTGCAAAACGCAAGAGAAGAACTAGGTCCTCAAACGAGGCCCATAAGGTCAATTTGGAGAAATTGAGCTCTTGCTCATATTTTCATTTTTATTAATTTATTTCAAATACTCTACATTACTTTTCATTAAAAGATATCTGCAAGGGATTTACGGTTGCAATTACATAGCTTTGGTTCACCATCATCACCTAGGCATGTTCTCTTCCCTTTCTGCCCAAACCTCCTTTGGGTTGATTGTCTGGGCCCACTGGAATCTCATTCTGCTTTTCAGAGAATCGCAGTTGGCCCGCGATGAGCTTTTAAAGATATTCCTTAAAAGGATAGCATTAATTTCTCCCTGCGTCGGCCAGACTTTTTAAATGGTTGCTGAATCACTGAGTTGAATCATCCCGGTTTCTGAACCACACCAGCTCTATTGTCCCATGTGCATCCCCGAACTGATTTCTGGGACAGTTTGGCCGGTTTTGACTGGCAGCTCCCAAAATTCCAAAAGATCCCTGGGATCTTCATCTGTTCTGTGAATGCTGTTTGCCCTTTTCATTCTAGGAATTGTAGAGCTGAGTGCATGAACTGATGATGGCAGTCAGAGTCCAGGAACTAAGTGTGAGGTTGCTTATCCTTTTAACAGGATAGAATAGTCACTGAGATCAGCAGTGGAGTAAATACAGTGAGAGAGAGACAGAGAGATTCAAATGCTTCCTTCTCCCATCTTCCAAAACGTGGTTCTTTAATTCAGGAACGGTTGCATGATTAGGGGTGCCACTCTCTAAAACGTGTGTGCATCCTCTTTGCATGTCTTTCAAAAGAAAAAGAAATCCATGCCCTGCAAAGTACTGCCTTGTCAGTGATTTTGGCAGAGCAATTTTAGGGGACTTCAAG